TCAGCTAATGATAGACAATCCCAGGGAGGTCCTTGGAGCACAGAGGCTATTTAGCCAGCGTGGAGATGGGCAGGGACCTCCAGAGTCACAGTCCCTGCGGCTTCAGGCTCCATGCACACTGACCCCCCCAGCTCTTGAGGACACAGGCATCAGTTTTGGCACCAACGCATCTCCGTGTCCTGTTCCAGAAAGGCTCACGACCTCCCTCTCTCATCTCCCCGATCATGGTGCTTATGGTCCTGGCTTGTGATGAGGGCTGGGCAGACTAGAAACTGCCCAAGGACATGGGGCCTGCTGCTGCTGGCATCTTCAAGGACCCAGGCAGTTACGCTGTGACCAAGAATAGCCATGCCCTGCCCCTCGTTGCCTCCTGGCCATCATCTCTAAATTGCCATGAGATCTGAGAGGCTACAGTCTTACTGCCTTGGAGCCTGACAGTGTTTTAATAGTGTTGCTCAGTTAAGTCTCATTTGTTTATTTAGAGATTAAAAGATAAAATACCAGGGAAACTGGCTGGTCACAAAGTGAGCCTTAATAAACCCTATAGGAAGAATTTTAAAGCTTATAGTCAGACACCTTCCTCCCTCCTTCCCTCCCTTCCTTCCCTTTTTCCCTCCTTCCTTCCTTCCTCCCACCCTTCTTTCCTTCCTTTCTCCCACCATTCCTCCCTCCCTCTCTTCCTTCTTTGTTTTTTCCTTCTGAGTGATTTCAACTCCAACAATTATGGTTTAACAAAATGTTTAATGCAAGTGTTTTAAAAGGCTAGTTTCACCAGGAAAAAGAGCATTGCCGGAGCTGTAACATGTAACAGTTGCTAACAGATTTGAAAGCATACTACAACCAAACAGCAATCTGCTAGAATCATTTTTTTGCCTTTTTTTAAATTACAATTTAACCATAATATTAGCCTGGCCCATAGGAAAGAAAACCCATTTGGGAACAAATAAAATATTTCTCCAGTGAAATAAAGACTTTTCTTTTTCCCCTAAATGCCTCTAGGTAATATTCTCTTCTTTATAGTTTATATCTATTTGAAAATAATGACAGATGTTGTCTATTCAGCTTCTCATTTTTATTTTTAAATCCATAAACCTTTCAGATCCTGATCTTGGATAAGACTGACTGTCTTTCATGGGACAGCTTCCCTGGACTGCACTGGGACCCTCTTGACACAAGAGACAGGGTCCAGCCCCCAGGCCTTGGAAGGGGGTGACTTTCCAGCCCCAGGTCCCATCTGTATCAGTGACTGTATCTGAGGCCCAGATAGGGGTTTTCAGCTGAAGCTTTAAGCCGTAGTATTGCTGATTTTTCCTTCATCATCCTTGCAATTCACTTCCTGCTGGCTTTAAAAAAATTATTGAGCTTGATAATGATTGAGGACCAAAATATTTTAAGAATATGTAATAACTCCACAAAAATATAAATAAAATATCTCTTACAGTTTCCCAGTGGGTCTTCTATAATGACAAATTCATCATAAACAGAAGCCCAGAAAATAAAAATTTTTATTATTTTTTTTATGACTGAAGTTCACAACCTAAAATAAATATATTAGCAGCAATCCACATAGGCGTAAAACTTACCTTCAAAAAGTATTAAAACTGATGGAAGAGCATACTCCACTCATCACTTGTCAATTCCATTTAACGTTGAAAGTGTTAGAAATATTTATCAATGAGAGAGAAAAATTATACATTTTCTTTAGTTCAGAAGAACACTGGTTAGCAAGTTGCAATCCAGTCTTACAATTGTATGTGGTCCCCACTAGCTGAGTGATCTCTGTTCGTCACCTGACGTGGTGGCTTCAGGACACATTCCCATTGCTACTACAGTATGAGATATATATTTTTTTCCTTTCATCAGTGCATTTGAGGAAGGATTTCCAAGGCAGCTGCAGCCAAACATTTCTTGTATCTGAAGGTCTCTTTGCCCTAAACTCTGGGCTCAAGGCATCAAGAAACAAGATGGAAAAGGCCAAGAGCCCAGACACAAGCTACCCTCTGCCTGTAGCGTGGGATGCAGCTGAGCACCGCCACCCACAGATCTGGGCCCAGGCCTGCTCTGCACCCAAACACCTCGTTTGTAATTTGTAATAGGATTATAGGATGTCAACATAATAAGAGATTTCAAGAGGAAGGATTTTGTGAAGGTCATGATTTATTTCCTTTAATCTTTCTAAAAATAGAAGAAATTTAATAAAAGCCACCCAACAGCTTTTCCTCTCCAGGCAACCACTTTCTCCCCATACAAACACAGCCTTTGCTTGGCTTCCAATCCGTAGCTCAGGTTATTTCTAGTCACTGGATACTGGATGTCATCAGTTAGTTGGAGTTAACTGGAAGTAAGTGAGTGTCAGGAGCAAGGCAGGGACAGATGACACAGGAGCCCTGGGCTGTGTCAGCAGTCACAGGAGCTGTGTCTGAAAGCTTCTGGGCATGGCCATCCCCACTGCTTATATCACCTTGGGCCGCTCTGGAACTGAGGCTGTCTGGGTTTCAGAAATACAGATTCCTTAATCAAGAAGGAATGTGAGGGAGCCAGAGGAAAAGGTGGAACCTGCAATTGTTGGGGTGTATGCAGGAAGCTAGAATATGAGGAAGGGTAGAGCCATCTAAAGGGGGTCGTTGGAAGTCAGAAATCTTTTGAAGACTTTTTCATCTAAAATGCAATCTTTGGTAATCAGGTGTTTTTCTTGTTTTGAATTCTCCAACTGAAATGGATGTGCACTGGCTCTTACCCGCCTTGGTGGAAATTAGCAGTTTTAAAGTAATACTTTTACCCATGTTTATAGCGGCACTGTTCACAACAGCCAAAAGGTGGAAGCCAATTAAGTCTCCAACTATATATGGGTGAATGGATAAACAAAATGTGGCATATATGTACGGTGTATCCCTCTACAGCTCACAGCTCTTAATAATTCAGTGGGGAAAAAACCATTAGAATGAATATGTAAGAATTGAACATCGACATTAAAAACCAAAGGAAAGTAGATTACATTGTATGAAAGGAAAATGCAAATGTAATACAGAACACATCAAATTAGATGTTTTTTTTTTTTTTTGAGACGGAGTTTTGCTCTTGTTACCCAGGCTGGAGTGCAATGGCGAGACCTCATCGCAACCTCTGCCTCCTGGGTTCAGGCAATTCTCCTGCCTCAGCCTCCTGAGTAGCTGGGATTACAGGCACACGCCACCGTGCCCAGCTAATTTTTTGTATTTTTAGTAGAGACGGGGTTTCACCATGTTGACTATGATGGTCTCTATCTCTTGACCTCGTGATCCACCCGCCTTGGCCTCCCAAAGTGCTGGGATTATAGGCTTGAGCCACCACGCCCGGCCAAAATGAAAGGTTTTTAATGAATGGCTGCAATCTGGAGTTTCTCTCCACAAGTGTTCTTACATGTGCTGATTCTAACTGGGGAAAGAAAAACTAGCCCTTGACTTCCTCCCCAACCCCCTGATTTGTGCTCACCTGTTGCTTTTCTCTGTACTAATTTCCTCTTTGATGGTTTTTATAGCAACAATGTTAAAAGGCTGATTGGCTGGAGAAGTATGGCAGATAGAGTGAATTCTAATGGACAGAGTCAGAAAGAAGACACTTTACAAGGCCCGGCGCGGTGGCTAAAGCCTGTAATCCCAGCACTTTGGGAGGCAGAGGCGGGTGGAGATTGACCATCCTGGTCAACATGGTGAAACCCCGTCTCTACTAAAAATACAAAAAATTAGCTGGGCGTGGTGGCGCGTGCCCGTAATCCCAGCTACTCAGGTGGCCGAGGCAGGAGAATTGCCTGAACCCAGGAGGCGGAGGTTGCGGTGACCTTAGATCGCGCCATTGCACTCTAGCCTGGGTAACAAGAGCGAAACTCCGTCTCAAAAAAAAAAGATATCAAGGTAAACAAGATGTATCTAAGTTAATATATGCTTTCATCTTTTAAAATTGGATTTGGTTCATGGGAGGGGCCAAATATTTCTTTTTTTTTTTTTTTTGACATTTTAAAAAACTTTTAATTTTGAAATAATTTCAGACTTTCAGAAAAGTTGCCATAGTACAAAGAATCTCCATATACTTTTTACCTAGATTCCCTAAATGTTAACATCTTGCCATGTTTACTTTACTATTCTCTATTTATCCATGTTAGTTTCTTGGGAGTAAATAGCAAACAAAATGTTCCTTTACCTCTAAATATTTCAGTGTATATGAATATTTCCTAAAAACAGACATTGTCATACATAACAACAGTACAGTTATCAAAATTTGGAAATTAAGAATAACATAACATTTACTACAGATCTTATTCTAATTTTGCCAATTATCCTGCTGTCTTTTGTAGCAAAGGAAAAACTTTTTTTTCTTGGTCCAGTATCCAATCCAGGATCATACTATGCTATCTTTAGTCACTGTTAATCTGAAATAGTTTTTCAGTCTTTGTTTTTTTATGATCTTAAGATTTTTGAAGAGTAAAGGTCAATTATGTTGTAGAATGTCCTTCAAACTTAGATTTTTTTTTTTCCTTTTCTTGAGACAGAGTCTTGCTCTGTTGCCCAGGCTGGAGTGCAGTGGCATGATCTTGGCTCACTGCAACCTTTGCCTCCTGGGTTCAAGAGATTCTCGTGTTTCAGCCTCCTGAGTAGCTGGAACTATAGGTGCATGACACCATGCTTGGCTAATCTGTGTATTTTTGGTAAAGACAGGGCTTTGCCATGTTGGCCAGGCTGATCTTGAACTCCTGATATCAGGTTATCCGCCCACCTTGGCCTCCAAAAGTGCTGGGATAACAGGTATGAGCTACCGTGCCCAGCCTCAAACTTGGATTTGACTATTTCTTCATTATATACAAGTTATGCATTTTTGGTATAAATCTACAAAAGTGATGTTCTGCCATCCTCAGGGCATCTTATCAGGAGGCACACAATATTTATCAATAATGAAACTGATAATATTGTCAGCATACATTTTGAGACAAGTGGGGAAAACTGAAAACAGACAATATTAAGTTAATGTTAATTTTTTTAGGTGTTTTAATGGTATTGTGGTTATATTTTCAAAAATGGTATTTATCTGTCAGTGATATACACATTGCAGGGAAAAGTGAAATTAACTGGCTTGATGTCTATTCCTAGGGAGTCTGGCAACCCTAGGCAGAAAGCAGTAATGATAATACAGTCAGCTCTTGATCGTTCTAATATAATGGCCAATTTGCATACTATCCAGGTCTTTGACCATTTCTTCTTTCTTCTGTGGCTTTTCTTTTGGTCACTACATTTACAGCTCTCCCAATATAGTACAAAAAGGATATTCAAATTTTGCAACTTGTTGGATGAAGAAGATCCTTGGGGAGGAGACTGTAACTACTGATTGAAAAAATCAGGTTTATAAATAATCTGAACATTTCATTTCTTTGTAATTGGCATATCCTTCTATGGATAATTATAAGTTTAATGAAATGAGATCACTTAAGACGATCACACAATAAAACTTTACAGCCAAAATACAAAGTCTTCATCTTATTTTCCTACTTCATTTTTTATGTAGTTCTTAGTAAGTACATTTTTCTACTTTATTTTTTGAAAACAACATTCATTTTTGAAAAGTTTATTTCATGAAGGACTAATCCTTTGCTGATGTTCAAATTTAAATTATTCTTTTATTTCTCTCTCATAGGAGAAAAACATGAAAAATTGCTTCTGTGGTAGTTTCTTCTAGTTTTTCAATCACTCTTGTAGTAGCAACTGGTTCAAAATACTGCTTTGTTTCAAAGCATACAGTTTAGATGTATCTTCACTGATGATGGGAACATCCTCATTTTGTTCTTGAGCTGTCAGGTCACTTTCACTGTCAGACAGTGTACACAGGAGAGTGTCGTTTTCATAGGTTGGAAAATAATACTCCAGTTGATCCCACGTCTTTCTATCAGGGAGAAGTGAAGTGTGTTTAGTTTCTTCCATGTGAGTTCTTAAGTCTGCTTTGGATTTGAACTTCACATGGCAGCCATAACATCTGCACTGGTGAACTTGCCTCCGAATAAAATTGACCAGTTTCACTTGCTGATAGAAATTTAATCCAAGTTCTGACTTTATTTTGAGAAGATTAAATTCGTGTGCATCCTCCATGTGGACATACAATTTCTCAATTGTTTCTGCTTGCTTTTCACAAAATAAGCAGACGGCAGAGGCAGGGTGTTCTTCCCAGTCAGACCAGCCATCTTCCTGATTGTCCAGCAACTCCCGATCATCTTCCAACTGAACTTCTTCCCATGATTTTCCAAGTTCCAAATAATTGATGACATAAAATTGATCATATTCTCTGTTCTTAGGATTAATCTTACGTTGCTGTTTTTTCCTCATGTGATCTTTAAGTGTATTTTTGTCCCTGAAGGTCTTCTCACAGTACAAGCACTGCAAATTGTCAAGCTTTTTCTGTAATGTACACAAAAATTCATTGCAGTTTACAATGTTGTCTGGCAATCCAATGTTGAAAGCATGTTCTCTGGCCATGTGGTTCAAAAGAACAGATCTGTTTCCAAGGAATTCTTCATTGCAAAACATACAAATGCCATGAAAATTGTTACCATTTCGTTCTTGCTGCTGTTGTTCCAGAATTTCTTTCAGTTTCTGTTTCTGAAGCTCTTCTCGAAGAATTCTATCTTCTGGTAAAACGTCACATAACAAAAAATAATTCTCTTGTTCTTCAAATGGAGCAGTGGAATTAATTCTTATCACACTACAAAAATCTGTGATGGGCTGTTCAGTGAACCTTTTCCTCCAATACAAAATGTACCTTTGGAAATCAGCGACCAATTTGACATCAGCTATGACAATCTTATGCTCAATAATCATGTGCTTCAGAAGTTTGTCTTGCTCAGCCACATGAAAATGTTCTTCACAGAAAATACAAGGCACAGATGGAGAACCTTCTAAAGTGGTGGTGCCACCTGGACTTTCTGGCAGGGAAAGTGGCTCCAGGATACAATCCTTACTGTCCCCATAACCTACACCCCCGACTGTGCTGCAGCTTCCATCACGGTCTTCCTCCAGTCGGGCGACCCCAAATATTTCTTACTAGCCCTGATGATCAAGCTGAGAAACACAGGTTTCAGCCACACCCACACACAAAGACCTGACGTAATGCAGCGCAGACTAGGCTGCCCACCGCTTGCAAAATCAGTCAGGAGGGGGAAGGGCGTAGTGAGAGGAAAGTAACTTTGTTTCCAAAGCTAGCAAGCAGCAGGGAAGCAGCTGGTTTACATCTTAGGCCTCCAGAAACCACTTCAATGGCGAAATCTCGGCTCACCGCAACCTCCGCCCCCTGGGTTCAAGCAATTCTCCTGTCTTAGCTTCCGGAGTAGCTGGGACTACAGGCACGCACCACCATGCCCAGCTAATTTTTGTGTATTTTTAGGAGAGACGGGGTTTCACCATGTTGACCAGGATGGTCTCGATCTCTTGACCTTGTGATCCACTCGCCTTGGCCTCCCAAAGTGCTGGGATTATAGGCGTGAGCCATCGCGCCCGGCCTAGTTTTTTGTTTTTTTTTTTTTTTTTTTCAGAAATTTTCACCAAAAGGTAGGAGAGGATATGTTGCAAAGATGCTGCCGTTCAGATATTAGGGCTGCAGTGGACCTGCTAATTAGTGGTATGATTTTGTAAGCTGCTGCAATGTTTTGGGGGATTCTAGTTCAGAGGAAGGAATCCAAGGCAGAATCCTTCAGGAGCTCGATGGCCCCCTGTGATGCTGAAGCACCGAAGAGATGGAAGTGAAACCAAAGGCGTGGAAATTCCAGACAGAATCTCCTCCGTCATACCGTGCAGGGGTCTGAAATGCATTGTGGGATAATGAAAAAGACTTAGACCTTATTGTGATGCCGGATAAAACCTTTGACACTCTGACCCGCCAAAGCCTCTTAAGATTAATCAATAATCAAAAGATTGGAATTTTTGGTGTCTATAAAAAATACTCTATCAAATTTGTGAATCCAGATTAAAGGAGAGGTAGAAAGTAGACATTTAATCAGGACTCCTTAGGCACTATTTGAAGTTTTTAATGCATTTTTTATTTCAATGCCAGATTTTTCTTCTTGAAATATTTCTTGGCTGTGTGTCATGGCTCATGCCCGTAATCTCAGCACTTTTGGGAGGCTGAGGTGGGTGGATCGCTTGAGCTCAGGAGTTCGAGACCAGTCTGGGCAACATGGTGAGACTCCACCTCTACAAAAAATACAAAAATTAGTCGTGTACGATGGCATGCACCTGTAGTCCCAGCCACTCGGGAAGCTGAGGTGAGAGAATCACTTGAGAGCCTGGGAGGTTGAGGCTACAGTGAGCTGTGGTCACACCATGGCACTGCAGCCTGGGCGAGAGTGAGATCCTGTCTCAAAATAAGAGGAAATTTTTTTTTCTACTTTATTTTTAAAGAAAGCACTGTGGAACATCAGTTTTGGGCTCTTGGGATACTGAGCTAAAAAATGGGATTTTTGCCCTCATGGAGTTTATGTTTTAGTGGGAATTCAGACAGACACACAAACTGAAGTAACATTTAGCTTCTTCAGTGTGTTAAGTGCACACTAGTCCCCCTCTTGCAAAAAGAGGAGATCTTTGTAGTGTGTGCACATGTGGGAAAGTGAGGCTCAATCATGGGAGGCCTCTCGGAGGAGTTGAAGTCTAAAGCTAAGAAGATATGAAGGTGAAGGACTAAGGCAGGAAGGAGGGTCCCTGCCTGGTGGTCATTACTGTCCAAGAGGAGATGAGAACATGCAGTCCTGGAAGCTCTTGGGGAAGATGGACGCAGTGAGTAGCTTCAATCGAGTCCAGTGGAGAAACTGTCAAGGGGCCTGGCCCTCCATCCAGGGTCCTATTGGTCAGGTTAGAGTAGTGGGTCCTGCATCCTGGGCCCAGGAAGGAGTCACTGACAGGCAGCTGGTGGGGGTGCAGGTCTCCTGGGAAGGGCAGTTGACTCTGTATTTGCCACAGGTCTGTGGTTTCAAAGAATATATTCATACACGTAAGATATGTACAATGCAAAAGGGAAGCTGTGCATAAACAGATAATTTCAGAGCTTAGTTAGAAACAAAGTCATTTAGGATTGTGAAAGAGACAGAGAAGGCCATTCGCAGTGGCTTAAGCCTATAATCCCAGCACTTTGGGAGGCTGAGGCGGGTGGATCACGAGGTCAAGAGATCAAGACCATCCTGGTCAACATGGTGAAATCCTATCTCTACTGAAAATACAAAAAATTAGCTAGGCATGGTGGTGCATGCCTGTAATCCCAGCTACTCAGGAGGCTGAGGCAGAATTGCCTGAAACCAGGAGGCAGAGGTTGCGGTGAGCTGAGATGGCGCCATTGCACTCCAGCCTGGGTAACAAGAGTGAAATTCTGTCTCAAAAAAAAAGACAGATAAGGCTTCCCCGTAGAGGGGTGTGTGCATGAGCCACACTCTGCTTCCCCCTGCACCTGCTCTATCAGTGATGGTGGCGATGGCAGTGATGATAATGATGATGATGGCAAATGTGATAATAAGGAGGAAGAAGAGAGAGTGAGAGACGAGGAAGGCTTTATGAGCCTATTCTGATTAAGTAACACCCAGTAGGAATTCCTCTAACCTGGTGGTCCTCCCTGGACCCACAGCATCAGTTATCACCTGAGTACTTAAGGGAAAAGCAAATTCCTGGTTCCCATCCGAAACATACTGAATGAGACATTCTAGGGATGGGGCCCAGAAATCCATGTTTTTACAAGACACTGGGCGATTTGATGCATGCTACACTTGAGAGACACTGCTCTCATTGATATTTATGTGTACCCTCTTTGCCATTCTTTTAACCAACTGCCTAATATTTCATTCAATAGATACATCATATTTATTATACTAGGTCCATGTTGGCCAACATCTGAGTCATCTGCACCTTTTGACTATTACAAATAATGTGGTAGTGAATGCCCTAGTACATTTAGCTTGGCGAATCCGTTCATTTATGATTATTTTACTTTTTATTATTGAAGTATACTTTATAAGCAGTGAAACGCACACATCTTACGTATACAGCTTGTTGAGTTTGACAAGCATATATCCCTATATAACCCCCACTTTTGTTAATTCATTACCCCAGAAAGACAACAAATGCCAGAAACAGAAAATTACCACATGACTCTTGACAACAGTGCCCAATGTATACCCTGACTGACTGCCAATGTATGGGAGGGTTCATTTCTCATATCTATGTGGACTCTGTCTATCACTAAAGAGCTTCATTTTGTGAATATCATATTTGAAATAAATAATATCTTGTTGATACTTTAATTGACATTTGTCAGTATAATTAGTCATTTTCCCCATATGTTTATTGGCTCTTTATATTTCTCTTTCAATGTCTTGGCCAGATGATCTGCTGAACTTGAATGTAGAATTAACTTCCACTCTGCCCAGATATAATTTCCTTGAGGAATCCCCTTCCTGACACTTCTTTCAACCTCCTCTCTCCCACTGGGCTAAGGTGTCCGTAAAAATACTCTATCAGATTTGTATCTGCACTTCTTTTGACCCCTTTTCACTGTACTTTTCAACTAGATTATAAAGCATTTCTTCCTGTTCACTGCTTTTCTCCTCCTCCGTCCCCTGGAAACTCCAGACACTAGCCTTCCAACTCTTTCCCCAGAGCCCAGCACAGTTTTGGGCACTTGTTGGCTTCCTTTTGCCTAAGTATAAATTAACCTGCAGTATTTGTGAGAAATTGAAAAAAAATTAATGTATCATGGTTTAACTTTGCTTTTGGAACTGCATAGTCACTGAGAAGACTATGAAATCTAAAAAAAAACTCTGAGAGCAAAAAACCCAGCAATCCTTTTCCCTTCCTCTGCTGAGCTCAAAACGATCACAGAGGAAATAAAGGCAAAGTCCCAACAAAATATTCAAAGCTGCTGTTGATATTTTGGAAGTTGATTGATTTTTTTAAGCAGCCATCATATACAAGCAATCTGCATTGACACATTTTCTAACAATCCTTCCTGCTGCTGATCCTAGTCTCTGGCTGGGCCCTTTGGCCTGTTTGAAGAAGCAGAGCCTTGTCAGGGTGGGGAAAGCCTGACTTTTGACTTATAGACCTGATGACAATTTAGAACTCTTTCTCATCTAGATGCATTCTTTCCCTTTAAATTCAACAGACATTCACTAATTAATTATTAGATGCTAAACACAGAGGGGACCATAAAGATCTCTAAGGCTGTCCTGTCCTCCCTGATAGGCCAAAAACACAATAGCTCACGGCAAAGTGAGGAGGGAAAATTGACTAGAGTAGCCGAAATGTCAGGGAAGGAGGGATTACTTCTAGACAGCCAGCACTGATTTAGTCAAGGTCAAAACATCCGGAGGCCTGCAGACAGACAAATACCATGGAAGAAATTCCTTCAAAAGCGAAGGCTGGGTTTCCTGAGAACATACATCACTGTAAACCACTTCTTCAGTACATTTTGCATTTGGTGGTATTTGAACCCCTTTCTCAGCTCTTAATGGCCTGAAATTGAGAAAATGCAAAGTGAAGGAGGGAGGCAGGGATTCTAAGCCTTGGCTACACTCAGAAATGACATGATCTCTAGAGAGAACACATCTTGCATTCCTGGTGTGAAATGTGTCCAGCCCCATGCTGGAATGGCTTTATAAACACTTGCCTTGTTCATATTTTTTTATGGGTCCATTGTCCCCTTGGGCCAGTTTGTAGATTCCAAAAGAGATGTGCCATAATCAATTCTGAGCTCGAACAAGAGTGAGAGGGAATGTCTTGGTTACTGGATAATTTGCTTATATTCTTATCTTGTGTTTTGGCTGCTTTTGTTATTTTTGAGAATTGATTAGTGAATCAGTAAATAGTTCACAGAACTCTCACTAAAGGCTACATTGAGCATTCTGCAGGCCTTCCAAAAGAACAGTGTTTCAGGAACATAGCTGTGCATTATACATAGCAAATTTGCGTCCATAAATGTTTACCAAACACCTGTGTGAGGCACTGCTTCCGGTACCCAGGAAGCAGAGAGAAATAAGATGCATCCTTGACCCTAGAGAGCTCATATGTAACAACTGTTAGAATCCCAAGCCTCTCTGTGACAGGTGTTGTCATGAGGTCTCCACAGGGTTCCTTGAAGGACAGTGGAGATGAGAGTGATGCTGGTGAAATACGGTGCTCTGTGTTTCATGTGGTCAGGCATGTGAGTTTGGTCTTGTGAGACAAGTGAGATTTTGACCAACAAAGTGGAGAGGTCAGGGAGGAGCACTCCAGGATGGCAGTGGACAGTGAGTGTGCATTTTGTCTGGAACATGGAGTCTGCATTTGGGGGATACATGAAGGGAGGATAGCGGGGAAGAGGTGGGGAGGAGAGGAGGCATAAAAGGCGGGTCAGCCACATTGTAAAGGCCTTGGATGTTGAGCTATGGTATCACATATCCTTTGCAGCCATGGGAACCCACTGGAGCTCTGTAAAAGATGTGTGACACCATCAGCCCTGAGAGAAGGGAGAATTAGAGGAGAGAAGGCTGGGCTTGGTATTGGAGGCTCTTCAAATAGCCCACCCAGCAGGTCAGTGATCAGATGGGGGTTGTGGAGCACTCAGGATATCTGCAGTACTTCTGTGCTCTGCCTGATGCAAATGAAAAGAAAGAGGCGGATTCAGTTACTACATCAGCCATATAACTTTTGTACTTAGCAAACTGCAGTAGGTTAGAGCTCTCGTTTTCTGGGGATGCTATAGCAAAATACCACGGACTGGTTGGCTAAAACAACAGAGATACATTTCTCAAAGTTCTAAAGGCTAGAAGTCCAAGATCAAGGAGTCAGCCAGTTTGTTTTCTTCTCAAGCTCTCTCTTTGGCTTGCAGATGGCTGCCTTGCCATCATGTTCTCAGATGGTCTTTCTTCAATGCATGCATCCTGTTTCCAAACTTCTTCTTGTAAGGTCATAAGACGTATTGGATTAGGGCCCACCTTAATGACCTCATTTTATCCTAATCACCTCTACAATTGTCCTATTTCCAAATATAGTCAAATTTTGAATTATTAGGGTTTAGGGATTCAACATATGAATTTAAAGGGGTTGGGGGGATGCAGAACTCAGTTCAGCTTTTAACAGAATCTACCGAATATTCTTGGTGAGGAGGCAGTGGAGTTTCCTGGTTAAATGTGTGAGCCCAAGAGCCATACTACTTGGTTTGGAATCTTGAATTATGTTCTCAAATTAATTAATCTCTCCACCCCTCAACGTGAAATGAGGATAATAACAGTTTGTGCCGCATGTTATGGGGGGTTAATAAAATAATATTTAAAAAGTATTCAGAACACTGCCTGATCCATAGCAGCTGTAGAGGAGAGTTTTTTTTTTTTTTTTTTTATCACCACTTTTGGCAGAGGGGCAGCAACTCTGAAGGTGAGTCTACCCTGGTCTCAGGTGGACCCTGGCCAGTGAATTATGTGGTCTGAATGTCTGTCCTCAGCGTTCCCACTGCAGTCATAAAGCAAATCACTTATAACAGTGGTCTTCAGCCTTGGCTGCAGACTGGATTCATCTGAGAGTTTTAAAAAATTCCAATGTCCAGACTGCTTCCCAGTCCAACTAAATTGGAATCAGAGGAGGCGGAACTCAGACATCAGTGGTTTTTTAAAGCTTCCTTCTAATTCCAACACACAGCCAAGATTGTAAATTGTTGGCTTAATTTCTTTGCTCCTTAGGAAAACTGGGGAATTGAGCTTAATGAATGGTTGTATATAATTTCACTCTCATCAATAGCAGAGACATTAACCATGAACTTGTAGAATTTCAGGCCCTGTCCCAGATCTACTGCAGATTCTTCAGTTTAACAAATGCCTGGGTGATTTGTATGCATATCAAAGTTTGAGAATTCTGCAAAGTTCTTTGGTATTCATGGGTTCTCTGAGATTAAAAAAAAATTCAGGTCCTTTCCTTCTACTGCAAAAGTCCAGATGATGGTTATTAACAACCCGTGCAATGGAAGTGTTTTAGTAGTGTGTTCTGTTTTGAAGGTAATAAGATATGTAAGCTGGGGCAGGCAAGAAGGCCACTGAATTTAGAGTTAGGACACTCAAACAGAGGTCTCAAAACTGTCTGAAGTGGCTCACTGATACCGGGCCAGCCACTTAACCTCTCTGAGCCACTGTTTCTTCAAACATCTGTTAATACACGTTAGATACTAGAACTTGTGCCAGGCACTGCATACACAACAAAAACTACACACACAATAGCAAGTAAGACTGTTGAGGACTCTACAACAGTTATAAGTAATTGCTATACGTGAGAGAGAAACAAAGTAAAAGGACTTTAGAAACCAAAAGGAGAGAGACAACTTCTGCTTGGGCTTCACAAAGGATGAACTTGGATCTATATTAATGAGGAGATGGTTTGGATTTCAGAAATGGTGAAAATTGTATGAGCGAAGGCAAGAGTGTGAACAGGTTGAGGGCATGTTTGAGGCAGTGGAGTAATATATTTTAAGTGGAAATTAGGATGTTTGGGAATAAAAGGGGTGAGAGATCCATTCACCCCATATTCTTATTATTGAATATCAGCTCTGTATCAGATATTTTTCCAGGTGCCCTCCTGTAGCTGTGAAAACACAAACCAACATTCTAGTCAGGAGAGACAGATTGTAAACAGCATAAATAAGTAAATATCACAGCATAACAGAAGAAGAATCTAATGGAAGAGCATCTCTGGCAGAAGGAACAGCAAATGCAGACCCTTGGGGCAGGAACAGGCTGTTGTGTTCACAGAGGAAAAGTGGTCAATGGCTAGAATGAAGTTCAAGGGCACAAGAGTAGTTGGAGATTAAATCAGAGAGACTCAACTGTGTTGAGCCTTGAAGACCATGATACGGTTTTGGCTTTTATTCTGAATGAGAAGAGAAGTTGCTGGAGGATCTTTGACCAGAAGAGTGGCATGATCTGACTTAAGTATAAATGGATCATTCTTTCTGCTGTGTTGAGAACAGACTTTAGGGAGGACAGGATAGAAACAAAGAAAATGCTTTGGAGGCTGGTGTAATAACCCAGGTAATGAATAATGCTGAATTGGAAGGGGTCCCATTTTGTATATATTGTGAAGGATTGATCAGGATTTGTTGCATGTAAGAAAAGGGGTAATCCAAAGCTGAATTGAAGAGTTTTGGTGTGGGCCTTGGAATGAAGGGAGCATTCATCCGCTGAGGTGGGAAAGACTACAGTTGGGCTGGAGGACTGGTTCAGTTTTGGAACTGCTACGTTAAGATATCTACTGGGCACCCAAGTGGATGTTGAGTAGAAATCGTGTCTGAAGATCTAAATTCTAGGAGTCTTCAGTGTGTAGAATGTATTTAGAGACTTAAAGGTAGATATATAGGTAAAGGAAAGAAGACTGAACACTGAGCCCTGGGGGTTCCAATGCTAAGAGGTCAGGAAGATGAGAAACCAACAAAAAGGATGGAGGAAGTGTATCCAGTGAGGAAGGCAGCAAGCCAGGAGCCCTGGCGCCCAGGAAGCCAACTGAACAAAAAGCTTTGGGAAGAATCATCTAGGTCACATGCTGCTGACTGGCCAGCTAAGATGAGGCCGGAGATTGGACCACTGGATTCAGCAGCATGGCAGTCATTGTCACCTCTACATGAACTACTTCAGTGGGATGTGAGAAGGAAAGCCCGGTTGCTGTGGGTTTAAGAGAGAGAATTTTGTTGTAAAGGGAAATGGAAAACTGGAATAATATCTGGAGGGGGAACTGGGATCCTATTCCTTCCTGTCTGGGCTCACTTGGGGTGTTTAGGGAACATCAGCAGGGGAGTGGGAAGTTGGAGTGGGGAAGCAGCGTTCTTTATAAGGAGGATTTACCATGCCAGCTCTCATATGGGTGATGATGCTCAATCCTGCAGGGAAGCTTTGGGAATGGGATGCCCCCAACGCCCACCATGTTGTCTGAGCTGAGGGGAATTGGAGACGTGGTGTTTATATACCAACACCTGCCAGTTGTTGGTTGGAGGGTGTTCCAGGGAGTGTGAATTTACTGGCACTTTTGGCCTGCAGTGGGTGGCTGGCACAAAATTGAGGCAGAAGAAAGAAAGCCCTTAGCTGAAGAATAGAGGCTGGCAGGGGGAAGTAGGGTCCATGTGCACTGAAGAGGTAAGGGCAGAGGGCAAACAGCTTGCATCCCAAACCCAGTGAAAGTTTTCAAAAAATAGTGGGAAAAATGGAAGGCATTTTTGTCTATGGCAATGATTATGTGCGTGTGTGTGTGTGTGTGTGTGTGTGTATGCGTGTATGTGTGTGTGTGTATATGTGTCTGTGTGTCGGGGGGGATGAGGAGAGAGAGAGGTAGAATAATATATAGTCACGTATCACTTAACAATAGCGACATATTCTGAGAAGTGCATTGTTAGGCAATTTCTTCATTGTGGAAACATTGCAGAGTGGACCTATACAAACCTACTACACACCTAGGCTATATGGTACAGCCTAGTGCTCGTAGGCTATAAATCTGTCTAGAATGTTGAATAGTGTAGGCAATTACAACACAATGGCAAGTACTTGTGTTTCAAAACAGAAAAGATACAGTAAATATAAAGGATGATGATCTTATGGGACCACTGTCATATATGAAGCCCATTTTTGACTGAAACATTGTTAAACATTGCATGACTGTACTTGAGCAGGCAAGAAAAAAATGGGGTCTAGGGCATGGGGGCAGGGCTGGATTTAGATTGCAGCCTGGGGACTCTATCTGCAGTGACCAGCAGGAAGGTAGCATGTGAGTGAACGGGAAGTGGGGAATATGTGCACATCCTCTTCTGACTACTTCAGCGTTCTGAGTGATTGGGAAGTAAGGCCCTGAGCTGAACGTGGGGATGAGTAGGAGGAGTTGGAGGACTGCAGAGGGAGGAGAAATGGTAAAGTGCCCATTTAGTGGAGCGTCAGGTCGTGTGATTCCTAGGCAGTTGGAAGAGACCACCTTCTAGGAACATCACCTGTGACCTGGTTGACGAGGCCCCTGGGTAGGTGGTGAGAAGGTAAAGTGCTGTTTTCTGTGCTAGGAGCCACCAAATGCTGTAGTGGAACAGGGAATTGAGTGATCGGAGTGAGGCACCTGAGTCTGGTGTTAGGGATGGAGGGAGCTAGCCAGATGTGAAGGTAGAAATCACTTAAGCTGCCTTCCCATTAGCCTGACAAGAGATGATGAGCTTTTGGACTGGGAATTAGGAGCAGATGGATGGGAAATTGGGCTTGGCACAGTCTCAGGGCTTCAAGGGCAGTGAAACATTACTGCTTCAACTTCTTTTCAGTTGCTTGTGCTTGCCGTATTAGAATTCTCTTCAATCCTTGGTTTCTTTCAAATATCTCTTTAAGCTTACTTGCTCATGTTCATATTTAGTTAAACTAAATAATAAGGTGTATTAATCCACTTAATTAGGCACAGGTCAGCATGTTAAAATGCTAAGAGTGAACAAGTGATGTGAATGAATTCCACTCTTACCTTTAGAAAACTGGAGTCCTTCTGACATGTAGAGCCTGTGTCAATCCATATAAAATATTGGTAAAGTAAAATTATCATCTCATTTTTTGATTAAAAATAAATTCAACGAGAATTTCTAATATGTTGTTCCTAGAATGCACTGGGTTGAAAACCTCATGCTGCTGGAGATTCTCTGGTTTAGATCAGCTGTCATCAAACCTGGGGTATGCATTCCCTGGGGATATGCAGAGCTTTTCATGGGAGACACAGAGATAGATCATTTGCAGGAAATTAACTTCCCTATCCTCAATTTCTGCAGGTACTAAGATTGATACCTTTTCATAGTTACCTGCAAAATAAGGTACTTCTGGTTGAAGATTCTCCTTTCTTACTCCACTTTCCTAATCCCCTGACCCATCCAGAGTCTTGCTTGGTGCCCCGCCCCAGCTGACAAAAGCTTCCTGGCAACCAAAGGAAATTCAGTAACTCCTTTAGTGCAGTCACGCTTCACTTCATTGAGATGTGTTCCCAATAAATACTTACTTTTTATGTTTAAAGATTGCTAATTGCAGTGCAGATTGTGTTCATGTTGCTCAGACCGAATGGTTATAGTCTAATAATACATGTAATATTAATGTAATCCAGAAGAAAAGTTCTTCACAGTTAGAGCCCATGGTCACAGAAAATAAAATCAACACATTTCAAATTGTGTCTACTTTATATATTCGTTGCAGAAGAGTGTGATAGGGCTATAAATAAAAGACTTTCAAGCATAAAAGTAAATTAGGTTAATATTAATGTTAAATGCCATGTAGGAAGTGGAAGGAAAATACAATTTCAGATCAGTAGGGTAACTAGAGTTAACATTAATCCACTGTACATTTCAAAATAGCCAGAATAGAATAATTTAAATGATCCTACTGTAAAGAAAAGATAAATATTTATGGTGATGGATATCCCAGTTACTTTGATTTGATTATATGAATGTATTAAATTATCACAGAAAATGCATACAGCTATTATATATTAATAAAAAAGAATGATGTTTTAATTGTTAAAGGGCTTGTTCATGTCTTTTAAAAAATAGATGAAGGTAAATATGAGTTCTATGTAGTATTTATGTTTAGCTGAATACATTTAAGAGTGATATATCTTTTATTTATAAATGTCAATATGATCAGGAGAAATTATATTCCTTGTAACTATTTTAATTTGTAATGAAATTTTTTGGATATTAACTTAGACCACGTGAGACAGATTATAGCTGTTGGAAATTCTCTTAGGGAATATGCTAACCTCTGAACTAGACTACTCTTTCACAAAGTTTATAGGTAAGTGACAGAAAATAAACATGAAAGGAGCTCCGGGGTACAGAGAGACTTTGTATTTTTGGCCCAGGTTTAGATATTTATAAATATGTCTATATATGTATAGGCTTGGGAATGTTCTATACTCAGGGAAGAGAACCCATATCCTTGTATTTATACTTGACTTTTTCAGATCGCAAGTCCCAAATTTAGGCCAAGAAAAATATTACTTCATCTCAATCCACAGATCCGAAGCCACCTCCATGAATAATGGAATTAACCCTTCCCACCAGGCATACAATGCCATCCAAAGATATCCTACAAGATATCTTTATTTTAGTTTGAAAAATGCTGAACCCAATTGGCTCTTTAAAATTCTATTAATTGCTGTGTTTCACCTGAATTCATAGAATTCCTCACCCATCTGCTCCTTCCCATTTCCCAGTTAAGGTTTTCTTCATGTTGTGTCAGCTAGATAGAGGAGAGACGGTGGGAGAAGAATGGAGAAATCTCTGCTCTCTTCTCTTGTAGAACATTATTGTGCAGATGTGTTACCAAAGAAAGGCATAGTTAGGCTCCTCCAGACTTAAATCTGGAGGAAGACTGCAAGTGCATATTTAGAAATAGCTTCAGCTAGGATTTTAAAAGTGAGTTTTCTGACGCTATCTCCAGTCAGAAGAAATTGTAGGCTGGGCGCCGTGGCTCAAGCATGTAATCCCAGCACTTTGGGAGGCCGAGGCGGGTAAATCATGAGGTCAAGAGATCGACACCATCCTGGTCAACATGGTGAAACCCCGTCTCTACCGAAAACACAAAAAATTAGCTGGGCATGGTGGCACCGCCTGTAATCCCAGCTACTCAGGAGGCTGAGGCAGGAGAATTGCCTGAACCCAGGAGGCAGAGGTTGCAGTGAGCCAAGATCTTGCCATTGCACTCCAGCCTGGGTCACAAGAGCGAAACTCCGTCTCAAAAGAAAAAGAAAGAAAGAAAGACAGAAATTGTAATACCCACTTATGTGAGCTTCTGGTTTATTGAGTTTTCAGCTCTGTTGTAAGAGGTCACCCTTATTAACGAGACTCAATTCTACTTAAGGAGGAGTTTTTGGTTAAAATTCAGATCACTTCAGCAAACACTATGGGAGCTGGCCACATACCCTTAAGGAATTTACAATTTAAGGAAAAAATAGGTGCATACACAAATCATATAAGTCATAAATATTTTATTTTTGTAATATATCTGTACTTATGGAGATGTTGTGTTTCAGACACTTCATCATAGCACAGGGGGTCTAAGATAAATAAAATGCCATCCTGATTTAATGCATAAGATTCCCACATGGCCTCCACTTCTGTGACTCACCAGGTAATTTGAGGTTCTCCTCACCTCCATGTAAGTGGTCAGGGTGTGATATGGACGCCCTGACATGTGGAATGTTAGGACCATGTATGGCATCTCCCACCAGATAATTCCTGAATAAAAGTCACAATTATTACAATGAGAATACTAGATTTTGTGGGTTTGTTTCCTATGTTAATGCACTGGAAAACTGGTAGATGCTTGGACAATGGGTTGATAGAGGTTTGTTGAAATAAATCAAAACCTCTACCTTGCTCTGATCCTGCTTTCATTTTGAAATAACTTTGTGCCCTTTCAGTCATAGGTAGTGTTAACTTTTTCTGCTCAAAATTCATCTGTGAAATAGATATCCACATTAAAAATTGTAATTGGTGATAAAGAACATAATTTTGACTGAATTAAATAAGATTAGTTAAGAGGGAGAAATTAGAGAAGTGACTGAACATTGGCTAAAAATGAGGGTCTCCCATCAAATGGGAAAATCTGGTCTAGTTATCACCAGGGCACCATGACTGCACATTTGCTCCCTAAGGCGAGGCATTTATTTGCACCATGAGTGATTTATTCAACACAACTCTAACAGCACTGTTTCACAGGTTGGATTTCCTAATGCAGTTTTATTAAAGGATACAAGGGAAAACTTCATATTTAGTTATTACGATGATGAACTATAAAGAGAAGAAAATATATTTCTTTTAATGAATTCCCATGGATAAAAACAAAAAAATCAATCTATATTCTTTCTTAGCTTTTAAAGATTGAGATTTCAGTGTAACTAAAGGAAAGACATAATTTGTATCT